AGATATGTAGATATATAGATTGTAGATATATAGATATACAGATATATAGATATATAGATATGTGTCCCGCTTTGCCAGGTTAGATAAACTGTCCTTTCAATCAGCCCATGGCTGGGAGAATAATCTTCTGTCAGTCCAAGAACAAAGAGACCTAGAAATTTATGTCAAAAGAGCCCAGTCTGAGCTGTGAAGAGGTAAAGGGAGAATGGCTGCATGCTGATGTCACAGGCTGTGGCCCTGGATTGTAACAGTAGACAGCAGCCTGGATGGAGACGTCAGAGTTGTGAGTGAGTGAGTGGCAGTCCTGGCCCTGACAGCATGTAGGAGGAGTATGTGCTTCACATTCTCCTGGAACTTGAGCATAGTGAGAGCAACCCTGAGGCTGTTTTCTTTTTTTTTTGTTTGTTTGTTTGTTTGTTTTTTCCAGTACCAGGAATCGAACTCACGACCTCTTGTCGGCAGGCGCTGTGCCGCTGAGCCAAATCCCCAGCCCCGCTCAGGCTGTTTTCTTAAAATAAATGTCAGCAGAAGCCTCAGGCATTGACTGGAGCCCAGAGATGTTCAAGAAGCAGGAGAACTTGACAAGAAGCAGGAATACTATCTGGGATTCCTGAGCATCAACCCCACCTCTGTAGAACAGAAATTCATGGCATTTCATGCTTGGTTCTAATAGCGGAGTTCGTTCATCCTCAGTGTTATTGTTGTTCTGTGGCTAGAGACTCTGTTCTGGAGACTCCGGCCTTGGGGATCTCTGAGTCAGCATAGACAGAATCCTGATTCCTGGAATAACAGAAAAGCCAGAACTTGGAGAGTTGAGGACAATACAAAGTTAATGAAAGGAGAGGAGTGTGTGTGTGTGTGTGTGTGTGTGTGTAAAAGACAGAGAGAAATACAAAAACACTCGTATTTCCTCATGAAGACATTCTCCCTCTCCCAACCATCTTCAACCCCTGAAGACTGGCCATCCCTAAGGCTTGTCCCCTATAAACCACCTAATAATCTAGAGTCTAGAAACAAAAAAATCTGATGTCTTGAATGAAATTCTCCTTTGAGTAAAATTAAGTATGAGGATAGACCCACTTATCCATCATTGCTCAATGTTCTTAGCATCCTTCAAACTTCAGAACTTCCGAGATACATAGACAGTGACAATCCCAAACAAAAGCAAGCTATCTACTAACACAAAGGGGCTATATCCCCTTTCCAGATCAGCTCAACTTGTCCATCATCCTCCAAAGCCATATTGAGGAGTAGTGATTATCTTAATTTTGTGCCACCAGCAAATGTAAACAGTATCATGTCATGTGGTGTTAGAATAGATGAGGCTTCATGTAGGACAATGACAAGAAACAGGATTCACAACACCTCCATACTTTCACGAGCCCAAGGAAGTGATGATAGCAGCTGGCTCAGTGAAACCTCAGTGGATTTGGAGATTTTGCTGTAGTAAAAGTACCCCTGAAATGATTTTTAAACAAATTAAGTGGGTGAAAGACATTGCAAAAACAAATGGTTGGGTGGAAGACTTTGAACTGGTCAGAGGTAGTGTGTTGCCAATATTGGTGTTGATGCCCCAGACACATGATGGAAAAGTGAGGTCACCAGGTGCTATGGTCAAAATACTTATGTCCCATCAAAAGTCATTTGTTGAAATCCCAAGCTAATGGAGATTGCGTTATTAAATGGAGCCTGTTAGGGGTGGAAGCCTTATAATAGGGTGTAGGGCTTATAAAAAGAGGCCTGGTGGATCTTGGTTTTGTATCATGTGCAAATTCATGGGAAGCTGCCATCTGTGAATCAGAGAGTGGACCTTTCCCAGACACCAAGTCTACTGACATTCTTATCAAGGATTTCTCAGCCTCTATAATTGTAAGAAATACAGAGTAATCACCGTTATTTATGAGCCAGGGTTCAGGACATCCTGATGTGGAAAACTTAATGTGCTGTGAATCTGAGGAAAAAGCAGACAGAAGTGGAGAGCAGCTCAGGTATGGACAAACAGAGATATTGTTCAACAACCCACACACTGTCTCATTTGACACTCAGTAATATTTGAATCAAGTTTGATGACCCACACTTTCCAGGAGATGAAAAGGAAAACACTAACTGTGCTTGGATAGGCCACTTCTGTAAGCTCCTTTAATCATTCCTTTGTCCAGAGAGACCTGTGAGGAGGAGAGGACAGGCTTGGAAAGGTGTCTTAAGAGTCACCACAGGACATCGGAGTGGAAACACAACTCTCTCCACGGTTCTGATTCTCTTTCACCATTTGTATGGAATGGATTTTCTTCAGTTGTCTATGTCCGTAATCCCTGGGTGTGCTCAGCCTCAGTGAAGTCTTCATGTGAGCATCACAATCCCTTGGAGTGTAGAAGAGAGGTAATTATTACAGAACATGATCCAGTTGGGAGGGATCTTGAATTTAACGTTCACTGGGGGCGGGGGCACAGACACAGTCTCATCTCATTGCCAAAAAGATCCTGCTCAGTATATCTAGATGCACAGGAACTTTCTGGGTCTGAGTCTCAGGAGGAAGATTGTTCCAGATACATGCTGGAAACAGCATGTGCAGAGAAAAGTGACCTCGTTGTTGAAGGTCGGATTTGAGACACTGTAAACACAGTGGTTGACCAGAAGCTCCGTGACCACGTGTATCACTTTCAAGCGTAGACCCTGTTGACCATTAATGAGTCAAACACCTCCTTCTTTATTTACTTCTGCTCCGAGGAATAACTCGTCCCTGAGAATGGTTGTATACCACTTTCAACATGATAAGGAAGAAACGGTATTAGCAATGGATCAAATTAATAACTAAGGAAGAGACAGAGCCATTTTCACCCATTGGTACTACTAAAATCAGATACTGAGTGAAAAAATGAGAATGAGAGCCACCATCAGAGCTAAATGTGGACTCAGGCAGCTCAGCAGTGACTTCACCATGCAGGAAGGAGGCAGAGGAGGTTTAAGTCTCACTTCCCCATGGGTCTAAAGCACTGTGTAAGTGCTAGAGCTGCTATGCCATATACAACAGTAATAGTCAGCTTCATCTTCAGGTTGTAGTCCAGAAATGTGCAGAACACCTGCATTGATTGAAGTGTCTTTGGATCCAGAGAAGCGACTGGGGACCCCAGAGCCCTGGTGCTTATCTGAATCTGAGTAATAACTCAGGAGATACCGAGGAGGACTCTCTGGCTTTTGCTGATACCACCGTATTGCAAAGTCACCCACACTAAAGCCACTGCTTAGGATGCAGGTGAGTCTGGCAGATGCTGCCGGAGATGCAGAGAAGGAGGCTGGCTGTGTGAGCACAGGTTGGGACAGGGAACCTGCAAATAAGGATACATTACAGTGAAGAGCAGAGCCAGGAATTTGAGACAGACAAGATTGGCACAGGGTGGAGGCATGTCCTGGAGCCCTGAGGCCTGTCCCTACCTGTGCAGAGAGAGAGGAAAAGAAGGAGGAGATGAGTCCAGGCCATATTGGACACAGTCCCCTCTAAGCCCACACTCCTATGCTGGGCTGCTCCTGGGCTGCCTTATCCCAGCCTCAAAGAGGAGGAGCTGCTCATGCAAATATGCCCTCCCCTCCTGCCACTCACCTTGTGAACACACAGGGTCTGAGTCTCCCATGCATGGAGGCCAGCCTGCTGGGCTAGATTTCCCCATAAGTGGAGCCTGGGATGCAGAAGCAGCCAGGAACACACCCAGACCCACGTTCAGGGAACTGTGCCAGTTTCAGAAGAAACAAAATTGTAGAATGCACACAAGAAATGAAGGACCTCACAACAGTTAAGCACACTCTCCTATTTGTGCTTGTCCTGAGAGTTGCCAAGATGGTCTCCTTGCTCCCGCTTCTGGTCTGGGAACTAAGTACTTTTACCATGATGTAAAATTTCACTTTAACCGTTGTTTCCTTAACTCAAGGGTTTTACTCATATAAGCAGAATCGCTATGGTAAACAACAAGGAGGTTTGTTCCTTATGTAATTATTTCTGACACCTTCTCTGGCTGGTGGTATAAGCGGGTCAACACACATGGAATCATAACAGAGGGAGCTTGTGAACTTTTCAAGAGCTTAGAACAAAGTGCCCAAAACAGAGATAAGAGGGAATTTATTCACCAGGATGTCTCAGAGGAGGGGAGACACTTGCTTAGCCCGATGATTAAGTGTAGGTTGCTCACTGAAGGGAAAGCACATGGTCACAGAGAGAACCACAGATCATGCTGGATGTACGGTTCCCACCAGAACAAGGCTCAGAGACAGTATTTAGGGTTTGGGGCCTGAAGGTGGGTGGAAAGCCAGGCTTTCATCATGGAAGACACAGGAAGGCCAAATTCTCCTTCATTTGACCAGGAGAGGTTTAAACCTGACTATGCCTATTGTCAGATCTGGTGTTAGAGACCTAACTCTCAGGAATATTCTAGAACAGAAATGGGAGAGAGAAGCTGGCAGGAGGCATTTTTGGGCAGCTGGCACACAGTGACAACAGCAACAGAAAGAAAGAAAGAAAGAAAGAAAGAAAGAAAGAAAGAAAGAAAGAAAGTTGTGAAATGGCAAATAGTTTGGAAGTAGGATGCAAGAGGACCCATTGAACCTGAGTGGAAGAAGAAAAAATGTTCCCGACTGTAAAGTGAGTGGAAGGCAGCACCTATACTATAACTTATACAGGTAAGGCCAAGTGAGTAGGTTGAAGGGGTTGGTAGGGGTGTTTAGTGGTACATTTGCCGTATTGTAACCATGGTAGGTGTCAGGCTCAACCTGGTCTGGACCTTCTCAGCACCCTCTCCCTACTGTTTTTTCAGCAACCATGCTGTTTTCAGTAAAGTGCAGGCTCCAGTAAATGTGCAGTCCTTGGCAAACGCTAGGAAACCGTAAAACGAGCCATGTCACCCATGGACCAATGGGACAGGATGTTGTAAAGAAGAGATAAGGCAGAACACAGACCTCCTTGGCGCCAGAACATCTGATAACACTTACACATCTGTACTGAACAATCTGAGAGCTTTTGTCATGGATATCCCCTTCAGACCCCACACACATGATGCCCCTCACCTGATTTTCTCACATGACCCTTTCCTCTGCAGCTAGACTCCAGCAAATAGAAAGACAAAGGTAAAGAAAGAGAGAGAAACCAGACCTGAGGCACCAGATAACAAAATTAACATAAGAATTTAAAAAGAAGAGTCCACAGATGAAATGGGGATGTAGCCAAGAACATAACAAGCCATGGTAACCAGCTCCCATCCTCACCCAGCAAAATACAAAGGAGACAGAGGGGCAGCCTAAGGACTTTTACTTAGTATATAAAAGACACATACACACCTATACTTTTATGAGTATTCTCACTTTAGAATCACTACACCACCATACCAGGTATACACACGCCCCCTTGTAACTTCTGGGGATGAGTGCTCCTCACACCGTGCCATGCAACACCACTGCTCTGCTGGAACACGCAACTCCTAGCAATACTAAATCCAGCATTGATAAAGACCTAAAGAAACAGAGTTGAATGTAAAAGAAGACAGTTTATTCAAAGGTGGGGGAAAGGAGGAAAAGAAAAGATGGCTTATTTGAAGGTGGGGGAAAGGAAAAAGAAAGAGGCGGACAGCTACTCTGGAGGGGTAGGGCACATTCAAAAGTGAAATACTGGTGGATTCTTGTCTGCAGCTCCTTTTTATAGAGATTCTTGGCCTGCATAGACTCCTGGAATCTGATTGGCTCTCCAGCTGCTTTCGATCCTCCCCTTGGATTTCTTCCTACCAAGACTCTTTCCTATTCTTTATTGGTGGATAGGATGTTGGATGGAGGGCTTATGGATAAATAGTCAACATTTAAGGGCTTTATGTTAATCACACTACCTGGGAGCTTCCCAAGCTTAATTCCTTCCTCATTCTTTACCCTGGAGATCAGAAGCTGCCTTAGAAGGATTAACTTAAAAATAAAGCTCAATAAGGCCTTCACCCTATCTTTTCCCTATTTATGGATCCCCCTGGCCCTAAATACATCTTTTACTTAATTTCTAACTCTGAGCTGCCCTCTGTGAGTCTCCCCATCCCCACACTTATCCATTACAAAAGAGCAGGAAGGAATCAAAAGAATAATATAGTTTAAGACCAACTCAAACCCATTCATGTATGTCTGTCTCTCTGCTCCAGAGTAATGATTGTATTCTTTTTGGGTGAATAACAGGTGCTCCATCCTACCAGGGACTGCATTTTGATACCTGAAGCTGGACAGAAAGAATGTAGACAGAGGTACCAGGCTAGAGTCAGACAGCCAGAGAACCAATTAGATGGTGACAACTCCCAGGTGCCCACATGGGGTATGGAAGAGATCACTAGTCCTAAATAAAAAGCAGCTGAGGATAAAAATCTGTATGTATTCTTCCCTTTTTTTCACCCTTTTCTGAATAAATTATCTTCCTTTATTTTTAAACTCTGCCTCTTCAATTCATTAGTAATGCTGAGGTTAGGATTCTGGTAGGATCCTGATACCCACGTGTTCCAGCAGAGCAATGGCGTAGTGTGGTATGTTGTACACCCTTCCCCCAGGCATCATTAATTTGTCCCAGTTATGAAGAAAATTACTAAGACAGATTTTGCAAGCCAAGAAATGGGATCATTGCTATAATGGTGAGATAGGAGATTAGGGCACCACTTATAGAAGTAAATTATCCAATAAAAATGCTACCTGACCACACAGTTTAGAAGCCTTTGGAAATGATTTGCAGGAAGAGTTTGCAATGTGTAGGGACAGGGGTACTTGTAGGTAAGGAAGAGTTGGCACAAAGGCCTCATGTTGTATTAAAAGTTAATAGTGTTATTAAAAGTTTGTAGATAACTTGGACTTCTGCATTGAGATTTAAAGGACAGAGGGAACTAGACTCGAGCAATTAAAAAGACAAAGGTGAAGAAACTAGATGTGGACCATTGTCCCGGCCAGAGTGGATACTCTCAAAAGGACTAGTGGTCCTCAGACTCTTCTGCTTGTGTTTGATCTCCTCAGGGCCTTTTCATCCCTCGCCACATCCATTATGAGGGGGAAATCCTACATGCAAATCAGGTTTCTTTGTCTTCATGCCCCAGTGTTCACTCTGATGTCTCTGGGATAGATCTCTAAAAAAGCAGAGGCTGGGACCTCACAGACAACAAGAGCTATACAGGGACTGAGACACAGAATGGTGGTTGATGTATTTCACCAGATCAACTTTCCCACACCTCTTGGGACCTCAGGCATAAATGCAACCTCTGGGAATCCCGAGGACTGAATGATGAGAAGGGCAAACTCTCCACGACCTACGTTGTTTATAGAGTTTAAGAACAACTCAGACCCGTTCCTGTGTATATGTCCCTGCTCCAGAGTAATGATTATACTCTTTTTGGGTGAATAGCACTTCCTCTTTCCTATCAGGGGCTGCATTTGGACACCTGAAGCTGGGTATAGTAGAATCCTGTGCTGTCCCTAGGGACATGGACCTCTTATTGACTCAGACTTGGGAACTCTCCAGCTGCTGCAGTGAGGGACTCAGCTAGGGACACAGACACAGTGCAGGACTGCCAGTTTGGGGAATGATACCTGCCTTTGCTCTAAGCAATCCTAGTAGCGGGCCAGGGATGTAGCTTAGGAGCACAGTGCCTGCCTGTCAAACTCAAGGTCATGAGTTTGATTCCTGATACCAAAAATAAATAAATAAATAAAAAAGAAAAAAATCATAGTAATTTCAGTGGAACCACAGGTTTTGAGAAGAAAGTCAACAATATTATCGTTAAATTATTCCTCCAAACTTTAAAAGTAAGAACTAGGAAAAAACATGCCTTATGATCAGAAATAATACTAATAACACCAATAATACCTGAGCAAGTTAGCACTGCCATTGTGGAACAGGAGAGAAGGGTAAGGTAGACTAGGCTATCTGGGTGTTTCAGGGGATTGGCAGGGAGATTTTTTAGAAAACGATGTTCACACTCTTTAAATAAAATTGTTTTCAATTATGAATTGCATTTAAAGTACTTAATATAAGGGGCAGGGGATATAGCTCAGTGGCACAAGCACCTGCCTGGCAAGCACAAGGTCCTGACTTCAATCCCCCGTACCGCCAAAATAAATAAATAAATAAATAAATAAAGTACTTAATAACAGTTTTGTTATGATTGTTTCCCTCCTAACCAGCTATATTTCTGTTTGAGAATATCAACACATCAGGTCCAAAGATTTGTGTTGATATAGGTTATGAATAATTATTAAATTATCTATTACAACATACACACAAAAATTGTTGTATATATTCATAGATTGATATTCATGTGTGTGTACTTGTGTGTTTGTGTAATAAAGGGAATGACGATATTAAAGAGAAATAATACAAAATATTATAATGTCTAAAAACTTTAAATAATGTTAGGCTATAGCATTCTCCTTAAAACTCACTAAAATATAATGACAAATACCACACTACAACAAGAGATAACCTAAAACTGTGGCACATAAATGGCCACACCGTTTATCACACATCTCATCATGAATAAAGTGGGGTTCA